CTTTTCGCTATTATCAAGGGCGATTTTTATTTTTTCATTTTTAAATAAATGTATTTTTTTTTTATGTATGTATCTAAAGTTATGCGAATGTTTTTATTTTCCAAACACGGTCAGAACATTGTGGCCGTGTTCATAGTTAATAGTATTGAGTGTTAGCTTTTCTTTTTTTATTATTAGGGCTTCCATTATTTTTCCATCATTTTTTACATGTGGATGAGGCTATTATACTTGTATTTTCTAAGTATGTTTCAGATGAAGTTTGACAGGTTTTTGTGTAGGTGTAACGTAAGTCGTCTAGATAGGCATGTAATAGTGTGACCAATGTAATTATGACTTTGGTTTGATCCGGAAGACAATTCCTTAACTCAATAATTATTGTTGGTTCTTTTTAGTTTTGATTTTACGGATGTTTTGTTATTTCTTTTACTAAGGTTAGCTGTTTAAATTTTTAAATCGATAATTAATTTAATTTTCTTGTTCAGGTCAACTGTAGTTGTGTATTTCTTTATGATATTTCTAAGAGAAAAATTGTCTCACTTATAGTTAACGAGTATTTGGCTTTTATAGAAAACGTTAATGTTATTGTTTTTATCTCTATGTTCATTATCGCTATGAGTTACTTTAGAAAGAAATAGTCTAATCTGGTAGTCGATAAAATATATATATATATATATATATATATATATATATATATATATATATATATATATATGATATCGTTTAAATGTTCTATTCAGCCTTCCTTGATATATATATATATATATATATATATATATATATATAGTTTATGAAAAACTAGGTAATCCGTATGGGTAAACCTAGGAGGATAAAATACAGAGAGCTCAATGTAAATCCAGAGCAAATAATTTAAAAAAAAAACAGACCACTTTAAGGTTCCATGTAATAAATTATTTCACCTCAGCCCTTTTTAAAAAGAACTGCGGATCATCAGACTTTATTTCAAAAAAAAAAATGAAAATTTACACATTTTTGACGGGCCGTATTAATCATCTAAATTTTCTTTTCATTTTTTGTTTGGAAGTAAAGTCTGATGATCCGCAGTTCTTTAAAAGGACTGTGGTGAAATAATTTATTACATGGAAGCTTAAAGTAGTCTGTTTTTGTTTAAAATATATATATATATTCATTTAGTAATGTTCATCTAATAAAAGGCCCAAGTACCACTCAATGTAGTAATGTTCATCTAATAAAAGGCCCAAGTACCACTCAATGTAGAAGATTAATGTGTGGAGTTGTATCGGCTTAAGGATGTACAATTGAAGTTTTGGGGGCTATGCAGGATGGATAATGGCTGACTCTTGACTTGAAGAGATCAAGTTTTAATTTGTGAATAAAATTTCAGATTTCAAGCGGAGACGTTAGGAGTATCGAGTTACAGTAGACTTTAGAAAGAACCGGAAACCCAATACTAAACAGGAAACGAGGGATAAACCTCCACTTCCGTTCAAAAGACCGGGGATGTGTCTGAACCGGACGATAGACAAAACTATCTACTCCTATTTGGAGAGGACAAAAACAGTAATAATTACTGAATAAAATTTCTGATTTCATGTGGAGACCTTAGAAGTACAGAGTTAAAAGTTCTGGTAACCCAATCCCAAACAGTAAACAAAGGACAAGCCTATACGCCTGTTCCAAAAACATATATATGTGTGTGTGTGTGTGTGTGTGTGTGTGTGTGTGTGTGTGTGTGTGTGTGTGCCTGAAGACCTAGATACAGGGTGTGAGGGATAAACTGTCGCCTAAGTTACGTAAAAATGAAAATAGCACAGACATCTCATTTTAACAGCTATATTTACCAAAATTATACAAAAAATATCTTGAAATAATAGAGTAAATTTATTCAAAATCACCATTGGCTTCAACCATGGCCTCCAGACGACTTTGGAATCTTCTGCAACACTTCTAGATGGGCTCCTTCTTTAAGTTTATGAATGTTGCCATAATCCTTGCCTTTGGTTCATCTCTGGTGTTACAAGAGCTTTTGTTGATCTCTCGCTCAATTGAGCTCCATACATAATAATGAAGGGGGTTTTAGTCTAGGGAGTTAGGTGACCAGATGTAAGGGGTAATGTAGCCGCAAAGATTTTCTGGCAGCAATGACTGGGTTCTCCTGCTTGTGTGGCATGGTTCACATTTCTGTTGCGAGACATGCATGAGGTCTTCCAACAGCCATCCTTTTGACCCAAGGCAGCTCTACCTCTTCAAGACACTTGATGTAGAACTCCATATTGAATCTGAGGCCATGTGAGAAGGTAAATGGAGGCATAACATCAACAACATTAGTGATCACTCCAAACACGTTCGTAATCACCATTAGACTCATCCAACTGTTTCCGAATCCTTTGCACTGTTCTTAGATTGACCAATCTAAAATGTTCGTATTGGCGAATGCCAAGCAATACAGTATACCATTTCCAAATTCTTGGCGGAGTGAATTGAGTTTTATATATATATATATATATATATATATATATACATAGAGAGAGAGAGAGAGAGAGAGAGAGACATAGATAGATAGATAGATAGATAGATAGATAGATAGATAGATAGATAGATAGATATGCATGCAAGCATAAATATGTCTATGTAATTACGTCAAAAGTGTACACTTCTAATAATGGCTGGCCGTTCGTACCAGAATGTCTACCTTCTCCGACGAGTAGTCAATCTGTGTTGCAAACGCCTATTTTTGTTTATTCAGCAACCACAGATATCCAATGTGGCATATACTGGGATGATCAACAGATTGAACAATAAAGAACTGTTGTCATATTTAAGCGGGAGTTGCCCAGTATACAATATATATATATATATATATACTTCTCTTGCACTTCTTCAAGTGATGTTAAGTAACTCGTCACCCGTGAAGAAGTACAATCAAAGTATTGAAACATGAAAGCTTTTGTGTAGCGATTTTAATATGTTTTCATTACAAACTTTTATAATAAAATATAATAAATAATATATATATATATATATATATATATATATATATATATATATATATATATATGTGTGTGAGTGTGTGTCTGTTTATGTATATATACGTATACATATGTGTGCACGTATATATATATATATGTGTGCGCGTGTGTGTGTGTGTGTGTTTCTATATACATACATATATATATATATATATATATATATATATATATATATATATATATATATATTAGGTTGGTGCAAAAATAATGACGTAATAATGTCGTTTTTTTACGTTCAAAATACGTCAAAAAACGACATTATTACGTCATTATTTTTGCACCAACCTAATAGATAGATAGATAGATAGATAGATTCAGTTGTGTGGATTTCAGTGATATTTAGCACTTTCCAACAAGTACAGCGCATATATAATATATATATAAAATTATATATATATATATATATATATATATATATATATATATATATATATATATATATATATATATATATATATATGGGCAACAGATTTACTCTGATGCAAATTTGATTAAAGATGGCAGAGAGGATATTTTTAGTGTGATTAGTTAACTTTTCTCCTTTCCTTACACGAGAGCATATGTTTGCATCAGATGAATATAAATATTTTGCAAACATTGGCCTCACATATTCAAATACATTTCAACTCTCCATTCACTGTTATGACTTATGGTGACGTCACGAACGGGGCGTGTGGTGATTGTGTTTGCGTGTGTGCATATAAATGTCAAAAGACGCAAGCATTTGCGACTACAATTCTTTTTCTGTGAATGTCGACATGTGTGTTTCATGTATCATTGATATAAGCATTTTTTGCATATAAGTATTGACCAAAAGATCTATTTACATCGAGATCTTTTTCATACTCATTAACTATGTAGATAAAATCAGGTAAATTTCGCATATTATTTAATGGATGAATAAGCGGGGATAATTTTCTTTATTATCATTGCGATTTTCAATTATATTTTCCGATTCAGTCGAAATATTTTCAGTACGTATGGATAAAAAGAATGCTGACGGATGGATAGAAATCTTATCACTTAAAAAGTGTTTGTAGCAAATTAGTCTTTATGATCTGGGGAAATGAAAAAATATATATATATATATTGCTTATGCAGCCTACTAGGAATAATAAAATAATGCTCTTTTTTAATGAGAATTCAATTATAAAAATATGCTATTCGATTACGCCGAGAAAGAAATGGAAAAACACTTATAAATTCAAACCCAGATACACACATGCGCGCACATAGATAGATAGATAGATAGATAGATAGATAGATAGATAGATAGATAGATAGATAAAAATCCCTCTGAGATAGATAGATAGATAGATAGATAGATAGATAGATAGATAGATAGATGATAGATAAGAGACCCTCTGTTATAGATAGATAGATAGATAGATAGATAGATAGATAAGAGGCCCTCTGTAATAGATAGATAGATAGATAGATAGATAGATAGATAGATAAAAGTCCCTCTGAGATACATAGATAGATAGCAAAAAATCCCTCTGAGATAGATAGATAGATAGATAGATAGATAGATAGATAGATAGATAGATAGATAGATTCCATCTGTGTTAGATAAAAGGCACTATGTAATTGATAGATAGTAAAAATCAGCCTTTAATATATACATGAATAAAATTCCATATGATAGCTATATGTCCCTCTGCGATAGTTAGATAGATAGATAAAAGAACTTATCTAATAGATAGATAGATAGATAGATAGATAGATAGATAGTGTTGTAAGTATGTTTATCTTCCTGATACTAATTTTTAATTTACTGTCTACAATTTATGACACTATTGTTGATAAAGAAATGAAGGCAGGCAACCAGATAATTTAAGTTAAATTCTATAGTTTTACAGCAGAATCCGAGTTTCTCCTCCAGAATTTATATCCCCGGAAACTATGCAGTAAATATAGTAGTGTTTTATATATCGTGTGTAACAGCAAAATTGCCCAAATCGTGTAACAACACAAATTGCCATGCCACAAATTGTTCAATATCTAAAAAACCACTAAACTAATTAAGTTTCTCTTTCGCAAGTTTTCAGATAAGACGTTTAGCCATCTGCATAGCATTTGCCGTAAGAATCACTGAAAAACCCTTTGATTTATTCAGCAGGTTAAAATCGTTTTCAGTCATCCGCACTGTCTTCCCAAATGATTAATGGCGAAAGTAAAAAAGATCATTCAGGGCTTCAGTAATGGTACCAACATTCAAAGTATTTGTAATAACCCTCAAGAGAACGGTGAATAAGTTTAAAAAAGAGGGAACAGTAGAGAGGAAAACTGGATCAGGAGGTCACAACAGGAAGAGGGATCATCATTTAAACTTAGATCTAATGAGATCGATTAGAAAAGATCCAACTCCATCCGTAAGACGTTTGGCACGTGAGAGATAAGTTTCAGATATGGCAGTTCAAAAAGCAGTGTAAAAAGACTTGAAAATGAAATCGCATGTGAAACGTGTGAGGTGCTTTGTTACTCCAGGACAGAAAGTTAGAAGTTTACAGAGGGCGAAGATCATTGTAAATAAGTTGGAAAATGATCCTGGAATAATATATATTTGAAGTTAATTTCAATCGTTCATGAGCTTCCCATCCTTAGCTATGATTAATTAATGACGAGCATGTCATTTTCGCTGATGATCGATTTCATCACGATTCATTTATTAAGCTTGGAGAGTTATAATACACTCTTATTGCTCAAAGTAGAGTCTAATGGTGTAATAAAACCTTATAGAATTCCAGTATGATATCTTTAATCATTTCTAAGATACAACGGTTTAAAGCTTAATCTAGCAGTTGGACAATTTTGCTTTTACACGATTTGGACAATTTTGCTGTTACACGAAGTAGGTTCCCCTGAGAGTATTTCACCTTACTGTAGTTTATATATATATATATATATATATATATATATATATATATATGTGTGTGTGTGTGTGTGTGTGTGTGTGTGTGTGGTGTGTGTGTGTGTGAAAAGTGTATATAAATATAAATAAATATACATATATATATGTATAATTATTTATATATTATATGCGCGGTACTTATTAGAAAGCGCTCAATATCAGAGATAGAGCTAACATATGTTTATATATGTATGAGTCCCGACGGACGACCAAGTATGTATATGTGTCTGCATACATCGATGTTTGCGTTAGTACGATGACATAAGCGACGAAGTTTCCCCCACCACTTCCACAATAACACCAATACACACGCAATCTACATAAACCCAAATTTTTAAAAAATTAATCAGTTTGTCTGACGATCGCTAAAGCGTGAAACCCAGGGTCACAAACTCACATCTATCAACATATATATATATATATATATATATATATATATATATATATATATATATATATATATATATATATATATATATATATATATATAGGTAGGTCCTTTTATATGGTGGAGATGTTTGATTCAATTCAGAGATATCCTTCTTTTTGGTTGCCAACGAAGGCTAGGGAACTCAGTCTGCCATGCTATTATCCCCTATTCTATTATACGCGCCGTGTGTGTGTGTGTGTGTGTGTGTGTGTGTGTGTGTGTGTGTGTGTGTGTGTGTGTGTGTGTGTGTGTGTGTGTGTGTGACGTGGAATAATGGAGAGCGGCTCGTTTTGAGGAATCGGAGAGCCGAGTTCGAATTTCGAAAGCAATTACATTCACTTACGGGCTAATACCCTTGGGAAAGGTATGAATCCACATCTCCCTCCAGCTGTGGGTAAATAGCGGAACAGACCGTGTTCTCTAGTCTTGGATGTCTACTGGTCTACCGCAGAAAGAAATGGCAACCTACTGCGGGAAAAAAAATCTGCCTCGTCATTCGTGTATCGAAAGATACATGATCGCCTAAGCGTGTATCATGGCATATAACTGACTGAATCTTTATAACATCAACAAAATAAAATACCCCCAGCGGCGTGATGTAGGTAAACCACTGCTAGTGGTGGACTACTTAGACAGCATATTACGATATTTATTTCTGTTAAAATACACAAAATGTGGCACAAGGCCTAAAAATTGGGGATTGGGGAAAAGGACGGCCTTCATCTGTCTTAACTTTAAATTTATCTAGCCACAAACACTGACCCAAACATACAAACATTATTCCTAACACCAAAACAACACTTTCTTACTAACCTTTCTTACTACATTCACCATAATACCTCATTGTCTCTATGAAAAAACTAAATAGTCCCCATATGTAGAATTCTTTGTCTGTCGGGGGGGGGGATAAAAACAACAAATTAAAAAATCCCCAATGAGTATGTACAATATGAATATAATATATTTACAAGAAACTAAACAAAATAATGTTAGTAATAAAAAAAAAAAACACAATCTTTAAATGTGGCAGAAACATCAGTTAACTGGATGAAATCAATGCGGGACTATGAAAAATATAAAAAAAACATTCATCCATCCCTAGCACTCACACAGACACGCACTCATTCAGACACAAAAACAAAAACGAAAAACAGACAGACGAAAAACGAAAATCGCCCCGCATCCACCAGAGAACTGACATCACTGACCACCTAACGAGGGAGGGGTGAGGAATTAAACTAAAGAAAAAATAGGGACAGAAATAAAAAGGGCCAATGAGCAAAGACACCTTAACTAAGTTTACTGGAAAAAAAAGAAAAACTAAAGAGTCAAAAACAAAACCTATACTAGCCTAATTTCAGGGATGGGTTGCCTAAGTTCAACCCAGGAAGAACAATATCCTGATGCCTAACCAGCATCAAAATGCTACTCTAGGTCAGCCCCTTTTACTCGGCACAAACGCGCAAGATTCACCCACTTTTTGCCAAATTCTGATGAGGTGAGCCGCCGCTTTTTCCGTTCTAATCTTGACTTTAAGCTGATGCTTAAAGTACAAGATCAGTTGGGAAGAAGTGAACTCGCCCTCATAGAATTCCTTCTGACGCGTCGTCCAAATCACGACTCTCATAACACCTAGTAAGCAACAGAACACATAATGTTCAGCCTTCGTCATCTGCGGCACCACATTGCTACAAACAGAAACGGCCTCAAGGACAAAGGACTTTCCGCGCAGCATGCGAACCATGAGGCCTTCAAAAAACTTGCACAACGACACTACCACCCTGCAATGAAAGAAGGCGTGACCAATGGTCACGACTTCCTCATCACAGCGACGGCAGTTTGGAGATTTCTCCAAGCCCGCTGAACAATGTCTTTTGGCAACCGAAAGGGCCCCACGGATCACCAGCCAGGTAAGTGATGCCTCATCGTTATTGAGGCATTTCAACACAGGCTCCAAAGGCCATATTGAGCAAGCCTCCTGCTTCGAAAACTGACCTCGTCAGTCAGCTAATCACGAACGGACCCCCTGACTAACACTTGATATAATGCTCTACGAGAAAACGCCTGGACGTTGGAGAGGCCATCCGACGCCCATAAGACGCATTTCAGAGCACGACGACATTCGCGGTAGAAGGAGCATTCGGATCGGGGTAAACGGTGGGCCTCCTACTCGCTCTTACATGCGTTTTCTTTGCAGAAAGCACCCTTCTCATACGATTCGCGACACATTCGGTCTAGGAAAGCGTTGCGAAGCATATATTGATGAATCTCAATGCTAGGTATACCCAGACCGCCTTCAGATGGATGAAGGCAACAGATGTCCCATGATACCATAGCGGTTTTGTCTCTCCACAAGAAAGAGAACTAGAGCCTTACTAATGACATTAGTGTGGCATACAGAAGTGGACGTACAGAGAGTCAGTAAAGGAGAATCGGGTAGATGTGTGAAACACATACTTCCGCCCTCCCATTCAAGGAAAGATTCTTCCGAGACCACAGATTAACTGTGATTCCGGCCTTCCACTGCACATCCGACCAATTCATATCTAACAGGATATAAAGACTGAACCAGACGCCGAGTATCTTGACCGGCCCATCCGTCCAGATCCAGGAAAAACTACCTTCCATGCACTCAACCGCAAGCCAACAGACTTATCGCGGGTTGATCTTGGCCCCTGTCACCATCTCATAACCACTGATCTCTTTGCTGACTTCGTCAATCTAGGCTCTGCTCGTCACAAGAACCGAAATCTCATCAGCATAAGCAGAATAACTGGCCATGGTAGTAACACCAGGCAGGGAAATTCCGCGCAGGACCGGATTTGTCTTTAACTTGCGAAGGAAAGGTTCCAACGCAAGAACGTAAAGCAAAGGCTAAAGCGGACAACCTTGACGAATGGAGCGAGACAATACGAAAGGCTCCGATCGTACCCCATTCACCTCCACCGGCGCACCTGGAGTCGCATGCAGAAGTCGGACCCAGGTGCAAAAGTACGGCCCGTAACCGGCCACCGAAAGGACAGCCTCCAGGAATCGATGGTCAACCCTATCGAAGTCCTTGGACTGATCTAAATAGATCAGCACGGCTTCACTGTCGACTTGATCTAAGATCAAGCGTACCATATGAAGGTTGTCCTGAATAGTCCTACCCTTCACAGCACAGTCTATTTGGAGCCAATCAGACTAGACAGAACATCCTGCAAACGGTTGGCTAAGATC